TTGAACCATCCGATATCGGAATGAAAGATGCGGAATTTATTATAGGCATTGTAGGCTTCGAAATTATTGTTTGTTAACTTAGTTTTAAAGTTGGCATTACACTCATCTGTTGATTTTTAATAGGTTAAAAATTATAAGGTTGATTTATCAAATTATCATGCTGCAGAGGCCGGATATCATCCACCTATAAAAGAAACCTCTGATGGCCTCGAAATGAAAAACTCAAATGCTGCTGCTTCTCGTGGAATTACGAAAATTGAATTTAGTAGACTTTTAAACCCATCAGGTCGAAAACAAATTAAACACGGAAAGATGAAATGTACGTAATATTCAAAAGTAGAACTTGGCATAAATTTTATTTTTACTCTGAATTAGAATTTTTAAATCACCAAATTAGAATTCGGACTAAATTATTAGTGAACAGAACATTAAAAGTTTTAATTTTTAATATATATATTTTTTATAGATATTATGGCTTACAATCCGTCAAGCAGCGGATTTAGTTATCATGGAAATAACCGTCAAATGGTATTGATTGATTTTTATACGAACGAATTGTCTGCATCAACTATGGCAGGAATTCAAAAGACAACGCGATTTTTCCATGGATTAGGAATGATTTTAACGTGGTGGTATGTTAATTTAACTTTTAAATTATCATACTGGTATTAATTAAATTAATCAATGTATTTACGCGTAAAATTCATTTTAATGATGTTAGTCTGTTATTTCCGATATCAATTTTCATTGTTCGATTTCATAAACACACCAACAATTACTTAAAAATTCATCGTTCCGTACAAGTGCTTGGTGGTATTTCAATATCTACATTCGGTGCCGCAGCAATAGCCACAATGACGGAAACCAAAACTCCGCATGCATGGTATATTTCATGAATTATATATGCATACCACGATATCTCATTTAACACACGTTAAAATATTTCGAATAGGATGGGTTTAACTATTTATTCTCTTGTATTTGTCCAACTGGGTTTGGGGTTAGCGGCTATTTGGGGACAAGCCGCCGTTGTCTCGGTTAATCAAGGATATCCAAGAATTGCCAAAAGAATCCATCAAAC